TCACTAAATTGCCCAGTCTGGCCTTGATCTTTCAATCCCCCAAGTCAGCCTTCAGCTAGGATTACAGGCCTACCTGCCAAGGTCTGACTCCCTAAGTTGTTTTGGATGACCTCTAGTTAGAAAATTCGTTGTTAACCTCCAAGGTTCTGTCTCCTGTACTGCTACTAGTTTGTTGTAGAAAGCTACTGTCTTCAGTTTGCATTTCACCCTGTATTTTGTGTTCTTTATCTTTCTGAATGATTTGATTATGAAGGAGGCAGAGTCGGGAACTCTCTTCCCTCCCCACTGATTCTGAGGATGACATGGCCACCTACACCTCATGTGTGAGATGCTGACCAGGGAGTAATCCCACTGCTCAGGTATCAGGGTGGGATCATCATCTGAGGGAAGGGAATTGTTACGTATATACTCACCCATGGTGGAATGCTCATGGGTCTGGGTGCCTGTGTGTACAGCACACAAGTAGGAGGCAGAGGACAATGTCAGATACCCTTCAGCATTTTCCACTCTTAACACCTTTGTTTGGGACAGGGTCTCTCAGTCACCTGCAACTGTATCACATCTATCAGGCTAGACGTCTAGACTACTTTGAGCGATCTTCCTGCACAATTACAAGTATTATATTTACCCAGCTTTCTTCAGGGTCTCTAGGGATCTGAAATCAGGCCCTCGCTCAGATGCTTTACTAAGACATCTGCATAGCCTCCTGTTTTGGGGTTTTCTTCTTCCTTTGGTTGCTGGGCTGAAATAAGTCTTGTTTTTGCTTCTCCTTTATCCTTTCCATCACTGGTGATGGTGGAAATTTCCTCAAGATAGGAAAGTCAGGAAACTGAGATACACACCTGTTCAATAAAACCTATTGGGTACAGCCTTTGAGAGGCTGAAGAATAGTTCCCCTCAGGCCCCACTGTGCCTTTAGGAGGGGAGAAAATTGGGAGATGGCTAGCTCAGAAAGCTAACCGTGGTGAATGCTGGGAAATGCTTTACTCTGTGGGAGGGATCTGTGCATCTTTATGGACCAGGGACAATGGGAAATATAAGCAGAGAACAGGGTTTACCTCATAGTTCTTGACCTAGACAGAAAGAGTTATATTACTGATGATACATTGCTTTGCAGAATAAGAAGGTTAAATTTATGTCACTAGAAATAAAACCAACACTTAGACTTCTACCATTGATTTTAAAGCAAGGGTAATGGGCAAAAGTTTTAAATATATTTTTTTTCTCTATGTCAAAGGTTCCTGTTTTCCATTTCCTTGCCTCTAGCTCTTCCTCCCTTTCTTCCTCCACATTTTAATACCATCCGCATGCCATGTTCTGGGATATGATTGAAAAGGAAAAACCTACCGGCTTGTTATGAACTTTAACGGTTACTACAGTGTTTTAAATTATAGTTTTAAAATAAGCTAAAAAAATTTTTTTTAAATATTTCCAAATGACTTAGAAGTGCTACAAAACCCCCATCTTCAAGTGATCTTGCTGATGACTCTCTGTCACCATCTAGAGATGGTGCAGACATATTGCAGGCCCAGTTCTTAGACCATTTACTATTTAAAGTGATCCCAGGAGTTATGGCTTTGCTAATGTTTGTGTAGCAGCCCTGCACAAGAGATTGGACACTTTTACCTATAAATGAATACACTTGGAATTTTGATTGCTATGTTTATAGTGATATAAGAAATGGGTCTCAGAAACTGAACCCGTTATAAGAACTGGAAAGACACTGAGGGGGAGGAACCACCTATGTCCATGAGGAGTCTGAGGATCTCAATGGATGGGCACTCAGGGACTCTGTGCTGATGGAGAAAAGATAAAGACTAGGAGCTACACTTTTCATTCATGTTCTCTCCTGGGCAACCCATCCCTCAACCCCAACCCTGGGAACATCGTCAAGTCTGTCCGAACTATGTGTATGCGGCAGTTAATATTGGCTGACAGTTTGACAGGATGTTGAATCATGGAAGAGATAAACCTCAGGGCGGGTCTATGTGGCAGTTGGCTATCTAGAAGACTGGGCTAATAACAGGTGAAAAACTCACTCTAAATGCGGTTGATACCAGTCCATGGGTTGACACTTAGACTGATTAAAAAGGAGATAGCGAGTTAGCACACCTGTATTCATCTCTCTGCTTCCTGACTGTGAACACAATGTAACCAGATGCCTCTCTTTCCTGATGGGATGAACTGTATCCCTTTTAACTGTGAGCCAAAATAAACCTTCCTTCCCTTATATCCATGTCAGGTACTTGGCAGTTTGTCACAGTACTGAGAAAAGTAGCTGATCTAGAGTGCTACTGGCACATTATGGGTAGAGGCCAGGGTGAGGTTGCTAAACATTCTATTTTTATAATGCATGGGGGAGCCCGCATCACAAAGAGTTATCCATGTCCAGATCTCAGTAGCGGACTATGTAATTTAGAGATGCTTCCTTGGATTCCAACCTTGAACCTAGTCACAAAGAGAGGAGGCCTGAAGGGATGTGGATAATTTCTTGCAAACTCATCTCAGTCTATGGGGAGAACATCAGCCAGGGGCACAATTATCAGCTGATTGCCTATAGACTACTTCTCCTTCCAGTTTCCTTTCAAGTTTACCTTGTGCTGTGACTTGCAGCACTGTTGAACCCAGTCTCCTTTCTCAGTCTGTTAGGTAATGAATGACACGTTGGGGGTGATTTTTGTTTTTTTCTGCATGTCCTTGATGCCGGATTTCCTTTAGTATCCAGTCCTTCCGTGAAGTCACCTAATTTGTTAAATCAGCCATCAGAATCTGATGGATGCTCCTCTCTGGGTCCTGTACCCAATGGAGCCTGGCTTAGCATCACAACCAATTTTGCTGCATATGTAAATTTCACATAACATATACCAAGTAATGGATATATTCTGTTCTTACTTTTAAAGCCTACTTATGAAATGTATAGAAAAATATACTTAGTCCTTAGGATAACCTTTAGACATCATGATGATTCCTGTTTAACATATTATAAGACAGGGGCCCTGGGAAACCCCGGTGATTACAGAGTCCCGAGTTTTCTCACTTTGAAGCCAGGCCTCTTCCAGCAGACATGTGCCGCATTCTGTCCTGAAGTCCAAGTTTACCATTTACTGTTGCAGTCAATGAACTAGCCTATGTACATTGACCTATCAGTTTTCCTAAGCTTCACATGGACCTCATTTAAACGGTACTCAGGGAACTGAGCAGGGCTGTCTCCTTCAGTCTATCCTTGCACACTCCGATGCGGGCAATAGTAAGCTATCATTTTTCTCTCAGGTTTGCCTCAGTACTTATGGTCTAGCTCTATGCTCAATAGGTTTCCCACTGGTTGACTTTTGGAGCTGGTACTGCTTACTACCTATAGAAAACACACATCCACAGAAATCTAAAGCTTTTCTGCATCCTGAATACCTGCCTGCTTTGTACACCTCCTGCCAAGGGCCCTTCTCATCTAGCCACATGATGGGTTTGTCTTTGGCTTGTTTAATGCTTCCAGCATGGCAAAACAAAACAAAAACAAGAAAACCTTTCCTACTTCAAGTTCTTACTGTGCTGTGCCCTCTCTCTTAGCAGGTGGATCTCAGTTCCCTCTTTCTTGTAAAATGCACCTACTATTTTGGGCTTTTTTTTCCCCCCTGTGACATCTCTAAGACTTGTCTCATGTCTGACAAGTCCCCTTCCTTCCTTTGTCGCTCCCTCCCTGCTCTCTCACAACTTGATTCTTTCTAGCTTAAGAGCCTGTTTGTGGATCCAGGCATGGTGACACATGCCTGTCATCCCAGCACTCTGGGAGGAAAAGGCAGGCAGGTCTCTGTGAGTTAGAGGCCAGCCTGGTTTAAAAAGTGAGTCCAGGACAGCCAAGGCTACAGAAACCCTGTCTCAAACAAACGAACGAACAAACGCCTCTGTGAGCCCTTTTATGATAGTTGACATGCTTCTGTTACTATTTTACTGTAGCTAAATTACCCAACGTACTTTTCCTCTGGCCTGTGAAAAAGTATGTTCTCACTACAAACTGTAGAGATCAAAACAATCAAATAAATGCATTCACTAAAAGGATGGCCATACAGAATAGGAGGCACCGCATGTCCACGGTGCGGGGGGAGGGGGGGTGTCTGGGGACAAGATTCAACCTGTTGAAGAGAGATCTTGGAGAAGAGCACCTCAGAGCAGGTTGGCGAGGGAGGGTTCACACACTAGGAACTAGTTATTCACTGCTGGCTATTTAGCTTCTTTAGGCTGCCCTAAATGTGCTAGTTACTGGGGGATTCCGGACAGCTGCATGATCTTGAGCGCATCCAAGCTTCGGGTTGCTCATCTCTTTATCAAAGGTTCAGGATTCCCACCTGGTCTACGCAGGGCCGAGGATGCGGCAGGTGAGAGAGAAAACTGCAGAAAGTTGCCAGCGAACCCTGGCTCTCTTCACCCTGTCATTAGAAGATTTGTCCAGACGTCACGCCTCTTACCTGAGCCTCCAGCTGCTTAAGCTAGGATCCCAAGGCGGACCCTGAGCCCTGAGGGCTGCCCTCCCTCTCCTGGCCTTGCGTCCGTCAATCTCTCCCCCACCCTCTGACTCCCACCCGGCCTCCCCGCCCCCTCCGTCCCCTCCCTTGGAGCCCAGGCCCAGGAATCCCACGCCCTTTGCTGCACAGGAGCTCGGGGAAACCTCGGGTCGCCAATCACGGCGCGGAGGAGAGGCGGGCGCTCGGCGGCGTGCTGGGGAAGCCAGCCGGAGCTGCTGTGCGCCAGCCAGCCGCAGACAATCACTCCGATACCGACACACGCGCAGACCCGCGGGCATCATCGACAGAGCTTCCCAGCCACGGGCGCTGCAGACCTGACTCTCGGAGCCCCCCGCACCCCCGAAGCGCCACGGAGGCCCGCGCGGCCGGAGCGGGGAGGAGGCTCGCGGACTCCCGCGCTGCCATGTGAGCGGAGCGGCGGCGACTCGCACCTGGCGCCACACCTGGGGCTCTGCTGCCCTTGGGGACAATGCGCGCCTCCTGCAGCCACCTCGTTCGCACCTGACCATGGAGTGCGCCCTTCTGTTCGCCTGTGCCCTCCGGGCTGCGGGTCCCGGGCCGCCGTGGGTCCCCGCCGGACTGGGGCGTCTGGCCAAGGCAGGTGCCACCGCCGAGGGGCGCGCCGCACAGCAGGGACCAGGGAGGCGCCCGCCCCTCGGCGCTGCTCACAAGCCGGTGTCACCTTTTTCTCTCTTGCAGGCGCTCCAGCTGTGCTGCCTCTGCTGTGCTTCGGTGGCCGTTGCCTTAGCCAGTGACAGCGGCAGCAGCGGTGGCAGCGGATTAAATGATGGTTCGTATATGCCCTCTCTGTGTGTACGCCACCATGCCGCAAGGGCTTTCCCCTTTGTGTTTAAAAGAGAAGTGTTAGAAAAAGGCGCACCTCCTAACCCCGGCAGGTGTGTGCTGTCTGAGGAAAAGGCTCCCTGGGAAAGGGGAAGAATGGCAAGGTCTGTGAGCTTATCAGAAAATCAGTGCCTCGAGCTGCGAGTCATATAGATGAGAAAATAATTTCCCTCTTTCACAGATGGCTTGTTAAGAATCCGAACTTAAGTAAGAAAAAAAAAAATTAGAAAGGAAGTGGGTACAGAGTAGGGAATGGATAAAAGGTTCCTTCCTCTCCTTCCTCCTCTGGGAAAGCCGCAGAAACTAATTCTAGTTTAGGTTATGAGTGGGTGAGCCCCCGTTTCCCCTGCTTTCCCACCATTCCTTTCTTCTCTCTTTACTGACTAACATCCTGCCACGGATGCCCAAAGATAGCTTTCTCTGGAAAGAGCTAGCACAGGGTGCTTTAAATCCTTTTCTTTTTTTCCCCAAAGGCCCGGAGTACGCTTCATTTTCCTCACTTACTAACGCCATAGTATTCCCAGAGAGGGAAACTCTTGTTTTCACTGCGTATTACTACCTGCAGAAGAACAGCTGATGTCTGACCAGGGCTCTTTAACAAGACCTTGCCGGCCAGCATAGATTTCTTGGGATTCTAAAATTTTTCCATCTCTGTGGAATTGAGACCTCTTGACCATAATCGGCTAGAATCATGGGCAAAGGCTTGAGAAGACAAGAGACCCAGAAATGTATGCGTCCAGTCAGAGCCTAGAGTTTCTGAAACTTCTATCAGGATCTAATGGTCAGGGAGCCCTTCTGTCCCAGCCTGGCCTGTAAAGACTTCTTTCTTTGTGTTTTTGGAGACAGAATCTCGTGTAATTTAGCTACAGAGAAGATAACCTTGACCTTAGCATCTCCCTACCCCCGCATCCCTGATGCTGTTTCGCTGGCATGCTCAGTACACCTGGTTGTATAGCAATGAGGCTTGAACCCAGGGCCTCATGCATGTTAGGCAAGAGCTCTGCCCACTGAGGTACATTCCCCAGCTCCTGTAAGGAGCATCAGTATCCAGCACAGCACATCATTCTTTACAGGGGCCTCTCAGTGGCCCTTCTCCCAGACAGGACTGAATATATGTTCCTCTCTGGAAACGAATTTGTAGCAGGTGTCTTGGGTGGGTGAGGGATGGGGATGACTGGCTGACACTCCCACACGATGTTCCAAGTAAGAACAGGTGGAGTTTCAGACGGCTGTGCACAAGGAGGTGAAAAACACACACTGCAGAAATTCTGTCTGGAACATATGTCGGAAATGGCTGTTATGTAGTCATTTACTATATTTACTGTTATTTACTCTGGTAAATAGAGAAAATGGCTTTTCTCTTTAATGAAAAGGAAGGGAGAAAGAAAAGAGAGAAAGAAAGAAAAGAAAGAGAGAAAAGAAGGAAAAAGAAAGAAGGAAAGAAAGAAGGAAGGAAAGAAAGAAAGAAGGAAGGAAAGAAAGAAAGAAAGAAGGAAAGAAGGAAGGAAGGAAAGAAAGAAGGAAAGAAAGGAGGAAAGAAGGAAAGAAAGAAAGAAAGAAAGAAAGAAAGAAAGAAAGAAAGAAAGAAAAAGAAAAGAAAGAAAGAAAGCGAAAGGCTGGCTTTAATCAAAAGCTACATACCTGCAGAGCAACATATCAGGAATTTTTGAAAACTAAAACATGTCCTGCTCAGTTTTAAGGGAAAGAGAAGGGAAACATTTTTTCTTTTATTTTCTGAAAATATGTCAATGATAGGGTGTTCCTAGTTTAAAGGAGAGAGGGAGAAAAGTGGAGAGCCATAAAAGAGTTAGCCACGCCTTAAAAGTCACAAATGGTCCAGAGAGAAACAGGGCATGTTATTGTCATATTTGATTTCTTTGCTAATACGAGACTAATTAGAATGTAGCTCGAATATCATATACTGATCCCTACACACTGTAAGACTTCCTGATTCCTTAGTGGCTTCTGTTTTTATTTCATTGTTGTTGACTGTTAGGGAAGGGAATTTTTTTCCCCCTTTTTTCTTCTTCGAGCCAAGGACCCAAGTGACTCAAACATGCCTCTTAGTTGTTCGGAATCTTTCTAAACACTTTCCAAATTAGTTTCCCATTCTGCGCCTAGAAAGTGGAAACCCAGAACTTTTTTTTTTTTTTTTTTTTTTTTTTAATGCACACAGGACAGGCTCCACATCATCTTCTGGGATGGTGCTTTTCAGTTCCAATGCCTTGTGAAAGAAAGCACTGTACTGACTTTGCTCTCTCCCACAGCAAATTGTTTCCTAGCTGCCCACCCCCCCCTACGGCCCCCACCCCCAGATCACGTAGCAATTAGTGCTGTTCAGGGGAGCCAGAGGGAAGGCATTTTTAAACATGCCTTTCCAGGTGTCCCTGGTCTGCCACACCCCCTCCAACAAGTCTGAGCAGCTCAAAACATCAGCCTCTATCTAGGATGCTCCTGATGGTTCCGAGGCACGTTTTTTTGCCAAGGTTGTATTTCAGGCCTCGGATTAAGCGGGAGAGTCCCCAGTGAAAGCTCTTTGAATCCTGTCCTTGTGCACAGTGGCATTTCGAGAGGGGGCTGTCTACCCCTTGTTAATGAGCTGAAGCTGCACACTTTCCCCAGTTATTTGCAGTTTAAACTCCGCCAGAAAAGTTTCTGCTCTTAGTTCAACCTAACCAAGGCTGTCAATCTCCTGGAAGAGAAATTCCCCCTTTATATTGATTAATTTGGTCAATAACAATGATGGTGGTAGTGATGAACAGTTATGCACAGATGCTCCATGGTGAATAGACGAAGAGTTCCTGTATTTCTTTTCAGACTGAGTATTGACCTCTCACCCAAACATCTTTGAAACTTACAGAATTACACTTAGCTTTTTAGTCCTTGTAGGCTTTGCTAGGCAAAGGGCTGCTCCACCCAGCCACATCCCCAGCTGTAGCCTCTCTGTAGGAGTTTAAGGTGGCAGAGCCTGACTGCACAGAATGCAACACACAGGAGCTCCTCTGAGTTCTCTTCACTGTTAGGTACATGGAACAAGGTCTTCGTGAGCTTGGGGGGCAGCCTGCTGGAAAGTGACCTTTGGCACCTTGGGCGCTGGGTGCTGAGACTAAATTTTTCCATTACAGATTACGCCTTTGTCACACCCGTAGAAGTGGACTCAGACGGGTCATATATCTCACACGACATTCTGCACAACAGGAAAAGGAGATCAGCACACGGTGCCAGCGGCTCCCTGCACTACCGCTTTTCAGCATTTGGACAGGATCTACACTTAGAGCTTAAGCCCTCGGCGATTTTGAGCAGTCACTTTATGGTCCAGGTACTTGGAAAGGACGGCGCTTCAGAGACTCGGGAGCCCGAGGTGCAGCAGTGTTTGTATCAGGGAATTATCAGAAATGACAGCTCGTCCTCCGTTGCTGTGTCTACGTGTGCCGGCTTGGTAAGTCAGCCCCAGTCTAATGGAGCTCGCTCTTTCGTGTTTTGTATAACTTGAATGAACAGATGTCTGAAGCATTAAGCTCCCTCCAGCCAACTCCACACATTCACACTGTCAGCTTTGATACGCATAATATTCTCAATTGAATTAATCTAATCTGGTCTCTGAAAAATAAAAAAGAGAATATAATAGAACTTTAATGAGCATTTAGAGCATTCTTTTGATGTTTAATGGCCTGGGCCCTTTCATTCTCCATGTTTGAGACGATCCCCAAGGAAATTAACTTGATGGATGCCATTCCCTTTGCAAAGTCTTGGGAGACCAGGCATTCTATAAATTTAACAGGCTACATGCGTCTCCATTGCTTTGAAAGGGGAAATCTGTGTTTTAGTCTAAAATTGCATTCAACTTGATGGGATGGGGGGGGGGTTCTTGTTGTTCTTTTAAAAATCTGCTGCTGGTACACCACTTGCAGAATGCATCCTCCTAGACTGTGGGGTGGTATGTGTGAACTGGCAGGATTAAGGGTGGCACCCAGGGAGGCAGGGCTTTTAAGAGCACTCGGGACAAGCTTGATTTCCTTCCTGTATCATCTTTCTGTGTCAAACACCAGGCCAAGAATGTAAATGATATTCAGAGTCCAATCAAATGTACAAGGCAGTAAATGACATCCTACGCTTTCATTTCATGTTGCAATGAAAAAAAAAATGTCTCAGACTGACAGCAGAGTTGGTACTGGGGACAGAAGGAAAATGAGAGGATGCCCAACTGGGAGTTAGTTGTTAAAGTAAGTGTGGTACACAGCTTGCCTAAGCAAGAGGTGTGGCTTTTAGGGTGGCCTGGGGTGAATGAGGGCTACCATATTCTTCAAGGGTTAAGATTATTTTAGCTACAACTTTTTTTCCCTGCAGTGTTGTTCTGAAATCCAGCCAAAACCGTAACCACAGTCACCATATTCTTTAGTGTATTTAAATTACAAAATAAAATGAGTTAGCGATATCCAACTAATCTTGATTCATTTGAATGATGACTGTTTCAACGAGTCCCTGTGTATTATGACACGGTTGCACACACATGCGCACATACATACATGAACACAATTTGTTTATTTTTTGTTCTTTGTTTTATTGTGGTGAGTCTTCTGCTGGGTTTTGGCATTCTCCTGTTTCCCTCTCTCTGCCTATTCCAATTTCCAAAAGTCTCCAAGGGTTCTTCCCTCCCCCACAGAACCTTAGACCACTTCATGGCAAATGCTCAAACTAACAGCTGTGAACTCAGGGACTCTTTATCAAACCAACACCAACCAGTAGAGTCTCCTTGTACCTCAGTTTCCTCATCTCTAAAACTGGGGCTATGACTGACAAGTTGGTTCAGTAGGTAAAGGTACTCACTGCCAAGCCTCATGACCTGAGCTCAGTCCCTAGGACACACATGATGGAAGGACAGGACTGACTCCTCTGACCTCCTCACACATGCTACAGCACACACAAACCCATATGTAGACACCATGTATACAAAATAAATAAAAAATGTCAAATGTAATAAAAATAGCAGTAACTGGAGAGATTTCATCCCAGGCCTATAGAGAGGAAAGGATTTATGTGTGAAATGATCTTCTCATTCCTATAAATCGTAGACTCTCCATGTTCAGCACTCAGAAATCCTGCTCTTTAGCGGAGGTAGGTAGGAAGTCCGATCAGTTAGCTCATGAGTAGACATCAGATTATCTTTTCTGGTGATGAGGTTCACATTTGAACTGGGAACAAACTGCCATCCAAAGCAGAAGAATGAAGTAGGTTAAAATTCTCCAGCTTTCACATGTGTGAAAGAAATGACTGATATGGAGGGCTGCTCTGTGGAAGGCACGGGTTGTCCCTACTCTTTCTTTTTTTTTTCTTCCTTTTTGCAGTTAATCTGTGCTTATTGAAAATTGTTGTTAAACAAGAATCATAATGTACTTCCTCCGGGTATGAGCTTATAATAGTGCTTGTGGTGAGTGGTTGTAGTCTCAGTCTGTGGGATGTGTACCTGAGAGGAATGTTGCTGTGTCCCAGGGTAGGCATGGGCGATGCTTCAGCAGAGTCTGTGAGTCAGCTTTTCAAGATGGCTGCACCAGTCTACACTTCAGCCACCAGCACGTGGGAAAGTTCTGGATGCTTTCTCTGTTCACTAGCACACAAGACCATCTGCCTTTCGCATCTTAGTCATTTTACAGGTGTAAGCTGGGTGCCACATTGTTGCTTACGTCTTTCTGATGGTTAATGGGGTGAAGTGCAACTTTTGGCTTCTTGGCCATTTGTATGCTTTCTTGAATAATCTCTTTGCTATATATAGACTGAATATAGGATACAGGTTTTTCAACTTAGATAGTGGTGTGTGCTCCATTCCCAGAGGATAGAAACAAGGATTCTAAGCAGAACACCTTGCTGGCTCAGTATCCTTCTTACTGTAGCTATCAAACTCTGACATCATCTATTTGGTTTTGAAATAATAGCAAATCATATGACTCACTAAAGGTACCACATTGAAAGGACAGGGATAGATGAGGAAAGAAGAGAGAAACCACATCTTCCATCTTCTAGCTACTTATAGGTCCTGGTAAGCATCTTTGGCCAGGATGGAGGCTTGTAACTTCCCTAAGGTTAATTGACAGCTACAGCAATGGATTCAGAGCAGTGTAGATGTTCTTAAAGTTTAGCAGAAGAACCTGTATCTTAAGGCTTGTTGGAGTGATTTGTTAATGTGCCAGCGGATACAGGCAGTTCTTCATCTGTTAATGTGGATGCTCTTAAGACATGGATGGTAGTGTGAGATGAAATACCTTTTTGTAAAGCTTCTCTCTTGGGGTTTCTCTAAGAGTAGGGCTAGATCATTGGCTTCAGGGGCCATTTAGATGAGATAGCTACCTCCCAGTGTGTTTGCAGAATGTATTAGGGAAGTAATCAGTCACCTTTAAATGATCTGGCAAAATGCCAGGAGGAAAGCTAGCTTTTACCTAGACTGCTAGAGCAACCTCAGAAGAAAATATGAAGGGTAGTAAAATTATAGTAGTGTAATACCTATCTTCTTGTAGGCAGGAAGGCAGGCATACACACCACAGCTGGAATTTTTCCAGCAGGGGATTTCCCTGAATAATTCAAAATTACCCAGTGTTTAAAATATTTTCTAATACTTTCTTGGAATGTACACCTACCATACCAACCTGACAGAATTCACTCTAAAGGAGTTCAGTGGCCTGTTTCTTACTTTCAATAATTCCACAGAACAGGAGCAAGTGGATCTTGAGTGCCATTTAAGTTTGCATGCAAATCTTGGCTTCTAATACTGAATTTCTGTTCTGGGTCACCGTTGCCCACTCCACGTGGTGACCTGGAACCAGTGAGTGTATTGGAATTACAGCCTTTGCCACATAATCATGGGGTTACACATTAACCTCGTCGGAAGCTGCCTGCAACATATCCTTTCTCCTCTACAAAGCCTCCTCCTTCTGCCTGCTACAGTGATGAGGAAGAAGGTCATGACTATTACCAAGCCCAGCCTATTAGAAGGAGACCTCACCTTGCTGTCAAACTGTAACCAACTCTAGAATCTCATCTCTGTTCTTTAATTCCGTTTTCTATGAGACTTTGCCTGTCTTCAATGATTTTTACTGTTTTAAAACATTCTCCTGTAGGGATCCTTTTGGTTTGTTTGTTTGCTTGCTTTTTTAAGTGACTCTGTAGAGTATGACCCATTTGTTAGATTTGTCTGAGAAGCTAAAAATTTGGATTTATTTCCTTAAAACTGGAATTTGGCCCCAGAAATGTATAATTTTCTGAATGATTTTGGTGTGTCTTAGTATTTGAGAACCGGTTAACTGTGAACACTCGGTGTCTGGGAATGTCTGGGAAAGCCACTTGCTCTTATTGAGTCCTTCATCCAGCAGCTGTTTATTGCTTCTGTCAGGGCAGACACTTTTCTGAGCACAGTGGGTGAAGATGAGAATGAGGAGGACACAGACACCATCAACACACTCTGACAGAGATGCCTAACCTTTTATTTAAAAACAAGACTTATTTTTATTCTGTGTGTATTGAGTTTCTACCTGCAAACATTTAACATGTACTGCATGCATGCTGTGGCCAAAGAGGCCTGAAGAGCGTGTTTGATCCCCTAGAACAAGAGTTACAGGCAGTCGATGGGAGGCACCAGGTCTTTTGCAATGGTAGCAAGTATTCTTAACAGTAGTCTGTTGCTGAGCCATCTTTTCCAGGCTCGTGTGTAACGTTCTCAGATTGTAATAGGACATTGCCCATCCACAGAGTCTGTGCTTTGCCTTGTACTCTAGTTACACACACACACACACACACACACACACACACACACACACACACACAACAGCCTATTGTTTTAAGTAAGTTTAGGATTCAGGACTATCCCGGACTACAAGATAGCCTATGGGCTGTGGATTAGACACACCTGTAAGAGAACCAGCACCAGCTCTTTAGACCTAGAAGTTCCTGTCTTTGTCAGAACTAAGCTGTGGCTCAGCAGAGCTCAGGAACAAAGAGTTCACAGCCACAGCTACAGAAAAGGGAGAGGCCGGGCGACGTGGTGCCGCCCCTCAGCCCTGCAGTGCGCACCAGCACGGTGGTGAGTCAGAAAGTCCTTCTCACTGACAGATGCTTAATGCTGTTTAAACCGTGATTTTCGCCAGCCTGTTTGGACACGGGCATTCTTTTTTCCTTTGAGGAAGAACATCTCTGCAGAATTTCACGGTGACCAGACAACCATGAAAACAGTGCTTTCCCCAGTTTTGTGCAGTGTCCTAAGTGTGGAAAAAAACAAAAAAGCTAAGCACCCAGGCTATCCTCAAATGAACTGTGTAGCTGAGAAGAACCTTGAACATTTGATCCTCTTGCCCTCATTTCCAGAGTGCTGGAGTACCAGAGGTGCACCGGCATGTCTGGCTTTTTGTAGCGTTAGGGACTAAGCTCAGGGCTTTGTGTACACTAGGCAGGTAC